AGGATTATCTAAATTCATGCTGGTTTCTGGTTTACAGTTGTGATGTTTTGTATTTCTAAAACCATGATGAAATTTTCCATAACTTTCATGTTCGCATTTTCCATTTTTGTTGAGAAATGACTAACTTGCAGATACTTTGGCTGGCACGAAGAAGAAGATGAAGTTCATCATCAGAACTTACTTTGTAATATATATTTATGTTTTTGTTTCTAATATCGGATGTATAGCCACTCCAGTGGTAGAGATCACGCGCATAAGACATTAGTGATAAGGGTCCTTGGTTCTAGCCCCAGAAGCGTCTTTTTATGTTTATCTCTTGACATTTTTACCCAATTATTTATCAAACAATATTCCTGGATCAGAACTTCTAGATAAACCCCTCCATTTGTGTGTCAAAACATTACTCCTGGACCAGAACTTCTAGATACTCTCATCCAATAGCATTGACACCTCACTTACACATTACCAGAACCTCTAGCCTTCCAGTAACACTAGAACTTCTAGGTTTCCATCTGCATCAGAACTTCTAGGCTCTCTCAGCGATCATAACTTCTAGCCTTCCAGTAACACTAGAACTTCTAGATTTACAGTTGCATCAGAACTTCTAGGCTCTCTCAGCAATCAGAACTTCTAGGATTCCTTTATTCCCAGCCACCCCCGAACTTTAGTGTGTATGGATCCATAACTTTTGGCTTTCCCCATTTTCTGCTAACATTTTCTTTCTGATTTGCAGCGTACCAGAGTCAAAATTTCTGCTTTTTCTCATATTTCTATTCTTTCAGCAACGTGCTGAATCTAACTCTTTTTCTCTTATTATTTTTATCATCACTTTTATTTTCATTAATCAAAGACTCCAAAATACTTTATATTCATATATTTTTCTTTATTTCTTTTAAAACAAAAAGAATAAAAAAGCATTTCCTTAAGCAAATTTATTCCTTCTCTTAACCAAAACAAAACAAATATATTTTACATTTCAATTCTTGTATATTATTTCAATATGGTTGTAATAGATAATTAGGACTTTAATTTATTGCAACCCCCATTTGTAAATTTGTACACCCCATTCCCCAAATGATTGTAATAGCGTAGAATATTTACTTTCCATAATTTATCGCTTTCATACAAATGCTAGTAATTAGGGTTTTGTATGGAAAGACTAAAACCAATCAATAGAAAAACCCTAATAAATGACAAATCAAGCATGAAAATCGATGCACTTACACACAAACACCCCTAGGGTAAATCCACTTGGTTGCCTTACAAAATGGCCATATTATGCATGTGAGGTATCTTAGCAAAGACAAGCAAAATACAAGATCATAATCCCTCGATGACGCTATCTATGTTGCCTTTTCAAAATGATATTAGTCCCTAAAGAAAAATGCTAAGATACCTTACAAACATTGCTAATCATGGTTATATGATGGCCCACGCCCGTACCGTTTACATCCAAAGATAGGGTTACTTACCAAATCAATGGTAAGATGACAATGTCAAAGGAAAAAGGAAATGAACATGTAAGACTTTTGAGTAGGTAGAATGTTCCTAGTTACTTGCTCAATTTCAAAACAAAAACATCCTTGCTATTTTCAAAAACCACACAAAGCACATTTTCAAACAAAAGCAAGTGATCTAGCAAGCAACTAAGAGCCCATAGATAACTATGGATAAAAAGGGTTCTAATACCTTCCCTTTTTATAATCTACCCCTCGAACTCAAGAAAACATCTCAAAGGTCTTTCCTGTGCTTTTTCACCTTTCCTTTTGGATAAAAGAAAAGTCGCTGGCGACTCTTGCTAACCGCAACATTTGCAATCAAACGCAAAACACCCAAGTCAATTCTCTCACCGTATCACAGTAGGTATACGATCAAAAATCATGGCGAGTCTTTCTAATTAAAACTTAAAACCCAATTTACCCCAAACCTAAACCTAGAGCTTAGTATCCTTGTGAACAAGGTAGATGAAAGGTGCCTAACACCTTCCTTTCGTCTAATTGAGTCTGAAACCTAGAATCTCTGTCTACGAATTAGGGTTTTATGTTAGATTCCCTTCCCTAGAATAAAAACTGATAGTGGGGACTCTAATTAAAAAACCAATCGCATCCCCAGTAAAGTTGAGTTATTTTTTCGCCTATAGAGTCACGTTTTCTTTCTCTAATAGAATTAGATTTCTTTCACCAGTCAAGTTAGTAACCTTTTTCTAAAATATTATTTCCTTATTAGCTCATTTCTCGCATTGTTGAGAACTTCCTCATTAGAATCTCACTTTGCTTGCTTTCCTGCCTGTGATTCTGGTTTTCCCTTATTTTACAACCTTCCTTAGTGGAGTTGGGTCCCCTTGTCCTTAACAAGTGCCTTCCTAATTTTTTGAGGTTTCCCATTTCCTAGTGGTGTCTTATGATCCCCTGTGGGATTTCTTTTCTCATTTTCCTATAGCATCCATAATCATAAACATTGCAAGGTATCTTAGGGCCAAAAATTTGGTTTGTTTTTGTATTTAAGTATCTTAAACTACATCGAGTTGAATATTTTAACCTTCATATCTCTGATTAGAAGACACTTAAATAAGGGCAACTGTTATACCCTAATTTTTTCCCCTAAGATCCCTCATCACTACATAACTTTGAAACACATCAAGGTCACAATCTTTGGGATGCCTCATACCCTATGCTCTCCCCCTGATCTAATTTTTTTCTTGAGGGATCATTAAGCACCATAATTGTGTATCTTGTATATACATGTTTTATATTTACTAACCTCTAACAAAAATCCATAAGATGTATTATTTCTCTTTGGTAGATTGTAGGTAATTAGCTAAGAGTATCTATCTCATTCCTTAACTTAGGGTTTTGAGGATTGATCTTCGATCAGTTGATTATTCATTGAACCTCAAAGGTTACTTCAAGAGTAAGCATCGATCGGGCCTAATAAAATTATGGAAGTGTTTTTCTTTGAAGAATCAATGTTCCGACCCCTTTGTGTGCATCAGTGAGGCCGGAAACAAGTTGAAGAACAAGTCATTGATTAGAGATTCGGGCTCCATTTTTCTTCAATTGTCCTGAAAGCATCTTGAGACATTTATATTAGGAGGAAGCTATGTGAAAATCCTCCATACGATGGAGGTAAACTCCTACTCGAGAGTGATCGCACGAGCATTTTGATTATCTTGGAAGATGTTGGGAAATCCATTCTAGACCTACATAATAGTAGTCAAAGGATAGTTGGAGATAATAGAAAAAATACACTTTAGAAATGTTGCTCTGAGGGTTGCCCATAGTTCTTTCTCATTACCAATACTGAGTGTCTTCTTCTCATTCATAGTGCTAGTGGAATGATGTACGAATAAACTTATGAGAGTGAGTATGTAATTTGCAGAGTTTAACCCACATACCAAATTGAATTTTTCCATCCCAAGAACAATGGGAATGTATTTATTGATGTCGGTTACTGCCAGAGCTAGATGGAAAAGATTCTTTGATGAAGTAGAAGGAGGCGGTGTAGGAGGAGCCTATTGGTTGAGAGGGCCTGGGGTTGATATGGATAGGGAAGAGATAAAAGAGAAAGAAAAATTTAAGGAAGAGATAGTTGAGAACCCTGCCACTAAGTTGTGCATGAGGAAGGAATTAGAAAGAAGTCTAGGTCTCTCGTTACCATGAAAGAAATTGTTTACGTTGTCTTTTCCCTTGATCGGTGTCAGTTATAAATATAATGGTCATGTGCAACCAATTCGAAAGTCTGATATCTATATATAAATTATTATTTTTTAATTCTAGAAAATAGATTAGGAAGACATTGACTATCCTATGAATAGAAAACCTACATAACATAAATATAAGAGTATTCTAACAAATATTCTATCAATATTGTGTCTCGATCTGGAGTTGGTGGTCTAGTTAACTTGAGCTCTTACTTGATTGTTTTTTGAGAATGTATTTCTTGACATGTTCTTATTTTTTTTACTCATCAAGTGAGTCCATGTCATTTTCATCCACTCGTTTTAAGCTCGTTTATCAAGATAGTCACAATCATCTACCTTACTTTCTTTGATATTTCCTTTCATGACAATTCCTCCCTTTTTCTTTTATTTCTCTTTAGGTTCTCTAATATAAATTAGCTTGCGATTGTGTTCATGCAATTTAAGCACGTAAAAACTTTGTTAGTTAAATTCTTATTTTTTTATTTTTTTGCAAAGAGATCCAAGATGATTAATTTTTTTGGATAATCTAAATTGAATATCTTAGCTACATTATTTTTAGTTCATTCTATATATATCCACCTTATAAATTAATAAATTAATGTATTTATCCTTGATATTTTGACTCCAATAATTACTTTTATAAATCATTTTAAGAGTATTCTGGGTATTTTTGAACTCTAAAATTTGATACAAGAGTGAGAATAGGTTTTTTAGATTTCTAATGTAATTTTTAAATATTCACTAATACTCTTTATATAGCTCAGTTGTTATAGAACTCTACAAAATAGTTTAGTCTGTTGGAAAAAAATGGATGTGAAATTCTTTCCCGACAATTGTGTAATCCTCTATATTCTTATAGTACATGCTATTGTATAATAATAATAATAATAATAATAATAATAATAATAATAATAATAATAATAATAATAATAATAATAATAAAACACGAAAAGGTAAAAAAGGGAAATTATTTTAAATTTAAATTCTTATTGTTGAAAACAATACATATTTACAACAAAAAAACAAATGCAAAAAGAAATTGATAGGAACCAAGAAATAAAAGCATGCAATACATAAACACACATACAATACTAAAAGAAAGAGAATTCAACAATAGAAAAAATAAATATAAGAAATACATAAACACACATACAATATTAAAACAACTAGAATTCAACAATCCAATAAACAATGGATGGTCTTTAACATCTCGAGTCTTACGAAGTAGTGTTTGATCGGAGGTTAGGTAAAAGTTTCTGTAATGAGAAAGTCTTAGGAGCCTTCATAGAGATTGGACACCCTAGTAAACATTGCCAGGAATTATTTCGAGAATGAAGAGTTCCTTAATGCCATCGAGAAGTATAGGGTCACAATTAAAGCTAAATTCAGGAAGGACTAGAGCTGGAGCGTAATCAAATGCTAGTTCTTTATAGAGGTCTACAACTTGTTGTTTGGTGGAGAAACTCTGTTTGGGAAACTGATAGTCAACAAAGTCAACCATGTCTTTATTGTCCGAATACAATTTGTGATAGTAAGTTTGGAGGATTTTTGTTGGAGCAATAGATACGAGCTTGATTGATAGTTTATTATTTTTGAGTCGTCTTATAACTTCCCCAATGCAGAAGGAAAAATCATCCTCGGATGAATAGATGGCCTCATAATGAATATCAATACCATCAATTATATTTTTGTCAGTGTCATATAAATCAATGATTTTGTTAATTGATTTTTCAGCATTGTTGATCCAATCATTTTTTTCAATTGGATTGAATGGAAATTCAGAGCAAAAACCTCCTATGCTTATAACCACCCTCGGATATGGATAATCTTCCTTGACCTTTTTCACGTATTCAATACTTTGACTATCAACTTCCCAAGTGGGATTGAATACACCGTTGCCTTTTCCATATTCGTCATAATGCTCGGTCGCAAAGCTCAAAATGAGGTCTAATTTCCCCTCACAATCACTCTCACTCTTGAAATTGTTTTCAGATTTTGGTATATGCGCTACATATACACGAAAAATGGTTGGCTCCACTTTTTCAGACATTGTGACTTATGAAAGTTGGAGGAGGAAATGATGTGAAAAATAACTAGTTCTTAAACCCCTTTTATAACATATTCTACAGATCTCAATATTCCAATCTCATGTAACTGCAGTCCTATTACTTAATTACTTAAATATTACTAAAGAATGAAATTCAACCATGTATGCTACAACGATTGGTCATACTCTGGTTGTTAGGGAAAATAAAACAATCTCTTTGATTCAGACTGTTTTATAAAAACTAAAATACTATAACACACAAGTGTGAAATTACTATAAATCCATAAGGTAATTAAATATTATAACATTTTCTTTTATTATATGCTCCTACTATGTTTCCTTTCCAAATAATTTGTTTACATTATGTTATGTTCACACTATGGTTGTTAGGGAATATTAAACTATTTACATGGACGTTAAACATGGTCAATTATTTTTTCAAAGTAAAACATATAAGTGTGCAATTACATAAATTATTATGTGAATGTAAAAAATATAAATTACTCAATAAATTAAACAAATATGCTAATCAATTATTTTTGCATATTAAAACATATATGTGAAATTATTTAAATTATCATGAGTGTGAGAATTAATTAAATTTAAAAGAAAAAAATTATAAGTAATTCTTAGATTGTATAATTAAATTAGAAAATTTAAATTGTATTTATAACTAAAAATAATAGTTAATTTGAAACAATTAATTATTTAAATATAACTTTTTTTTTGAGACAAAAATATCAGTTTGTTTGCATTTCTTTTCTTATAAATTAATATATTTTCTCAATTATAAAATTATTAATTTGTTAATTTATATGATCTTTACTAAATTTTTTGTTTATTTAATTATAAAACAGTAAAATAATATAAAAGAATTAAATTAAATTATTTGGATAGAAAGAGAGAGTTGAGCTTCTCACTGCAATGACTTCTCTTGTTTTGTTCTTTCAATTTCTCTTCAATGCAATTTCATTCCTTCTTCAACTTCAAACAACTCCATGATCTATTCCTACATTACACTCTGTCATCATCCCTATTCATGCATCACATTTTCTTTAATGCACGAGAGCTTGATAATGTTAAGTAGAGTATTTTTATGAAGTTTTTCATATTCTTGTTATGTAGTTCACATTATTACGAAAACAAGCTTATATCGTAGTTGAAAAAAATGATTTTTCTTCGGTTTGGTAAGTTTGATAAGCGAAGTAATGAATAGTTTCATAGAAAACGAGTGACTTTTTCTCTTAGATTAACTTTCATATGAGGTAATGAATAGTATTGCTAGGTTGAACTTTCATTTTCATGAAAGATTTTGATGAGAATCAAAGCCATGACTAAAGTATTAATCTATACTTTGATGCATATCTTTTATTTTTTTATAGTCTACTATAATATTTTACAAAATATTAATTACATATACTCTAATGAATATTGTAAAATTTAAGAATTAGGTTCTTTGTATAATATCATCTTATGTATAATATTTTAACATGTGTACTCTCAAATTATCTCAATAAACATGATATATATTTCAAGTTGATGGATTGTTAGAACCATGGTTTTATGATTGACATGAATTTTGCTAAAACATAGTTCATAACCGATGTTGAGCAAGATGTCACAAAATCTTGACTAACTATCATGATATGTTTTGCTGTCATGTATATGAAACAGATATTGAGCTAGATGTCTTGACATCTTGGCCTACTGCAGTATGTACTGCTATTATTTTTTTTGGCCAATTTGATTTGATTTTGTGAGATCCTTTTGAATATATCTCACTTATTTTCGCAGGTCAATGAGATTTTATTAGAAATAATCCAAATTTGATTTGGTTTCATTAAAAAGGATCTTGGAGATTTTTTTTAGGAAACTTCGAAGATTTGTTCCTATTTTGTGTGAAGATCTTACAGCTGATTTAAAATTAGAATATTGAACTTGATTGAAGAGTCTAAACCCGTTATGCAAGAGTCTATATAAAGGGTCTTGTTAAACCTAAAATAACAAGCATTCACAACAAGAATTGTGGGTGCATAATAAGGGTTTAGGGTTTTGAGATTACTTTAGATGCTTTATGTTTTTGTGTATGTCACACTTGTAACTTTTGATACATTGAGGTAGACTGATAGTTCATTATTACTTGCACATCACTCAAGAGCTTTTAAACAAAGAGTTGATTGTGTGTCAAGTTACTGTTCTCACTCATGAGCTTTTAAGTAAATAGTTGAGTATTGTTTATTGGAAGCACTACTATAAAAAATTCATTTAACAACGGTTGTAAAATATATATAATCACGTAGGTCAAAGCCTTGTTGTGTAGAGTGTTGATGAAAATTCGTTACTAACAATCACGGTCCTGGGACCGTTGTAGTATACTGGAAAGCGCATGTGATAACACAACGGTTATGCTTAACAACCATTGTGATATATATGGTAGTGGATTCGAAACTCAGTAGCAAATAAATTACATTAGATTACAGTTAATATAGAAAACCGTTGTGGAACGTACAATTCAAGTAATATATTGATTAAAGAAGAAGTTGAAATCCGTTTTGAAAGCTTGCTACCTTTAGTAGAAGTCGGTAGTTCACCTTTGGTAAAAAGTTTGTGTACCTTTTTGTTTTTTTACATTTAGTAAAATCGGTAGTTCATCTTCAATAAAATTTGGTATCTTATTATACCGCTACTTTTTCCTGTTGAGTTGGACATTGACTATACATAAATTATTAGCGAAAGTCTGATATCTATACATAAATTATTATTTTTTTAATTCTAGAAAATAGATTAGGAAGACATTGACTATCCTATGAATACAAATCTTACATAACATAAATATAAGTTTATTCTAACAAATATTCTATCAATATCTGTGTCTTGATCTAGTGTTAGTGGTCTAGCCAACTTGAGCTCTTACTTGATTGTTTTCTGAGGATGCATTTCTTGACATGTTCTTATTTTTTTTACTCATTAAGTGAGTCCATGTCATTTTCATCCACTCGTTTTAACCTCGTTTATCAAGATAGTCACAGTTATCTACTTCACTTTCTTTGATATTTCCTTTCATGACAATTTATTCCTTTTTCTTTTATTTCTCTTTAGGTTCTCTGATATGAATTAGCTTGCGATTGTGTTCATGCAATCCAATCATCTATTTTTTTATTTTTTTTTTAAAAGAGATCAAAGGTGATTAATTTTTTTGGATAATCCAATTTTGAATATCTTAGCAACATTATTATTAGTTCATTCTATATAAATCCACCTTATAATTTAATGTATTTATCCATGATATTTTGACTACAATAATACTTTCATAAATCATTTTAAGAGTATCCAGCGTATTTTCGCAACTCTAAAATTTGATACAAGATAAGAGTGAGAATAAGTTTTTCAGATTTCTAATGTAATTTTTAAATATTCACTAATACTCTTTATATAGCTCAAGTGTTATAAAATTGTAGTCGGTTGAAAAAATGGATGTGAAATTCTCTTCCGGCAATAGTGTAATCCTCTATATTCTTGTATTACATGCTATTATTTAATAATAATAATAATAATAATAATAATAATAATAATAATAATAATAATAATAATAATAATAATAATAATAATAATAATAATAATAATAATAATAATAATAATAAAAAAAAAACATGAAATGGTAAAAAAAGGAAATTGATTTGAATTAAATTCTTATTGTTAAAAACAATTCAGATTTGCACTAAAAAAACAAATGCAATAAGAAATTGGTAGGAATCAAGAAATAAAAGTATACAATACATAAACACACAAACAATACTAGAAGGATTTTGGAGATTTTTTTTAAGAAAATTTGTAAATTTGTTCTTATTTTTGTGTGAAGATCTTGCAGCTGATTTAAAATTAGAAGATTTGATTTAATTGAAGAGTCCAACCCCATTCTGCAAGAGTCTATATAAAGGGACTTGTTAAACCTAAAATAGCAAGCATTCAAAATAAGAAATTGTGGGTGAGAAATAAGGGTTTAGGGTTTCGAGGGTACTTTAGGTGCTTTTTGTTTTTGTGTATGTCACTCATGTATCTTCTGATACATTGAGGTAGACTGATTGTTCATTGTTACTTGCCCATCACTCATGAGCTTTTAAGCAAAGAGTTGATTGTGTGTCAAGTTATTATTCACACTCATGAGCTTTTAAGCAAGGAGTTGAGTATTGTTTATTGGATGCACTACTATGAAAAACTCATTTGACGACGGTTGGAAAATACATATAATCACGTTGTTGTATAGAGTGTTGTTGTAAATTCGCTACAAACAATCGCGGTCCTGGGACAATTGTAGTATACTGGAAAGCATGCGTGATATTACAATAGTTATGCTTAACAACCGTTGTGATATATACAGTACTGGGTTCGAAACCCAGTAGCAAATATATTACATTAGATCAAGCTTAATATAGAAAACCGTTGTGGAACGTGTTCATAGTTTATTATTGAAATTCTGGTGTTTAGATCACAAATATCCTAAGAGATGTCGAGACACCTTTCTCTAAATTTGCACACAATGACAAGGTAAACGATAAACACAATGCATAAAAGTAAAGAACACACAAAAATGCTCACTTCAATGAACAAAAACACATACTGTGGGGACTACCAAGTCAGGGAACAAGTTAACTAGATAGTATCAATTCATAGACCCATAACAAACTTTCACCTAGTTTATAATCTACTTACCTAATCACTACCCGTGCTTAACTTCTACCTAATACTTACCTATGTATGAGACCCTTCTCAAATCCCTTCCAATCATAGATAATGAATGAACAATTCTAAACGCTTAGAACAAAAACAGAAGTCACACTTCAAAGACACACAATCATTCTCTGCTTCAAAGATTTTGAATGATTGATAGAAGTTACAACTCAAAAATAGTCCTACTCTTTCATCAATATGATAATCGAGAGGCTCACAATAAATACACAAAACCTAATAAAAATACACAGTAAGTTCCACACTTGTACTATGGA